TAAAATATTAGTATACATAATTAATAATAATATATATAATTTTTAATTGAGATAATTCACATACCTTTTAAAGTATACGATTTAGTGATTTTACATATATTTAAAAGGTCATACAACCATCACCACTATCTAATTCTAGATTATTTTCATCATCTCAAAAAGAGACCCCATAACCACTATCAGAGACAATCCCCCCATTCACTCCAACCCCAGCAACCATTGTCTACTTTTTGTCTCTATAAATTTGCCTTTATTTGACATTTCGTATAAATGGAAACATACAATATGTGGCTTTTTGTGTCTGGGTTCTTTCATTTAGCAAGCTAACATAAATCTAGCTTGTACTTCATTCCTTTTTTTGGCTGAATAATATCCCACGGTGTGGATACACACTTTTTGTTTATCCATTCATCAGCTGATGAACATTTGGATTGTTTCCCCCATATGGCCATTATGAATAATGCTGCTATGAATATCTGTATACAAATCTTTACGTGAATATATGTTTTCATGTCTCTTGGATATATAAATAGTGACAATAATAGCTGCTGGTATTTATTAAACACTTACTGTATGCGAGCCTCTGTATTCTGCACTTCATATACATTATATCATTTAATCCTTATGATTATCTTAAGGAGTAAGAATTAAAATTCCCATGCTACAGACATGGAAACTGGGCTTTGAGCAGTGAAATAATGCCTTTTAAAGCAGTGCTGTCTCCAGCCCAAGGTCACAAAGCTGGTGATACTTCCTTGGACCAGGAATCAAATCCATCCCAGGTTTTAACTCCAATTCTCTACACTCCCACCAGGGTGGCCATGACACATTCCCGCTAAAAAATCCTTCAGTAGCTTTTCACTGCTTACATGAGAAAGTATAACCTTCCTAGTAAGGAGGGTGTCTGTGCTCTTCCTAACTAGTAGGCAAGTCCTCAGAGAGTTGGAGCCTCTTTCTTTGGATTCTGTTGGTACTTACTAGGAACGTTGTATCTGCATGGGCCTGTAAGCAGGATGACTGGCAAAGTCAAGGAATCGTTTTTTTATATTTCTTGACCACTCTGTAGCAACTGAAATCTTGGCCACTCTCCTTAGAGTGCTATCAAATCACTTTTTCAGGTTTTCCTCACACCCCTGTGACCATTCCTTCTCTGTCCCTTCTGCAGGCTCTTCAAGATTAGGTGCTGCCTATAGTTCGCATCTAGGCACAACTCCAGCTCTTCAGAAACTGACAGGAATGAGAGATGGCCACACAACTATAACTCAGGTTGAGTGTGATCAGTGTGCTGAAGGCAGGACGGACAGACAGTACTGTGGGGGCTCAGGAAGTATTAAGGGGCTTGTTTGCCTGGCCTTCGCAGCCCACTCCTGTTCTCTCTGGTGCTCAGCACTGAGGGGCTTTGCAAGGGCTGGGGCCAGTGGTAGACAGCATCCTCTCCTTCCCTCAAAGCTCCTAGACCACAGCCAGGGCAGAAAGGGAACTACAATTAAGCAGTGGAAAGGCCTCTCCTTTCTTTGGCAGCCTCCATGGGAGCTCTGACACTAGATATGGGCTGGAGCGGGAGGGAGACCAGGGAGAGACCTCTAGAAGGCAAAGAAAAAAGGAGCAAAGAGAAGAGAAATGGATAAGGAACAGAGAAAAAAAAAGGGAGAGGGGAGGGGAGGGGGAAGAGAAAGACAAGGTGAGAGAAGACAGTGGGAGAACAGAGCGTGAGATTAACCGCTTCAAACAAGTGCTGTCAGTGATCTATATTTGCTTACAGAATGAAAAATGTGTGCCATAAACATTGGCCACTGAGTAATTTCTAGTAAGAGTCATGTCACTTCTCATAAAGGATTGGATGGGGACAGGTAGGACATCTCTGCACCTGGGCCAGCCAGTACAGGGATACCTTTTAAAGCAGTGCTGGGCCTGTCTCCAGCCCAAGAGGCTATCAGTCAGGCTCCACCCCAGCCACTTCTGAGGGGGGAAGCCAGCCAGGTTCCCCAAGGTTCTGGAGCCTCAGGGTAGCATGTATGTTTGCACTTTAGGAAGGCTGAGGTGGGGGCACCATAGATAATGTCCATCTAATATTACCCCCCAGCCCCCACACCCTTGCTCTGATGCTCTGAATTGACTAATTGCTATAATAATTGATAGAACCTGACTTCTAAAACTGATCGATTTCACCTCCAGGACCAACGGCCACAAACCATTACACTCCAATAAATAACCACGTTGGGCCTCACCCGCCTGCCCTCTCAGGGGGCATCGGGATGGCTCGTGCCCTGGCCTGACCTCCCCTTGCCTCCCACCCAGGGCCCCTCCAGGCCGAGCAGCTGGTCTAGAGGGTCAGGCCTCTGGGAGCAAGTGAGAAGGCTGGACAGAGGTGGGGAGTTCTAATCGCAGGCCATCCGTCACCTCCCACTGGCTGTCTGGGGCTGGGGCCAACACCTGGAGCACCCCAGGCAGTATAGTGCAGGACCCCTCCCCTCCTCTCCCTGCTCCAGATTAGTGTGTCCCAGCTTATAATATTTGATAAATAGCAGACTGGCTTCCTGGCAGCACTGCTGCGGCTGCGCCTACCCGCTACAGCTGTGGAAGGTCACTCATTGGGGAAATATGTTTCTGTCAGTGGTATTGAAAAAAGTTTAGTAGAGTGACAGGCCTCAATTTTTCAAATTTTATTAACTCCATCCTCTTAACCATTTGTCTTGAATTCCTTCAGATTCTGGGGAATTTTTCAATCGGGCTTGGGCCAGGAAAGTAGGGTAGGGGGTGGGTGGTCATGGGCTGGTCTTGGTTGGTGCTAGTGGCTGGCTTGGTCTCATCACCCAAGGCAGAGTATGGCAGTGGAAATGGTGTTGGTGAGAGAGAAAGCCTGGCCTACGGGGGCCCAGGAAGCCCACTGCTCTTCTCTGGCTTGCCTTTGCTTTGACACAATCATAAACTTTCCAAGAAGAAAAAGTCCTTAATAGTGAGCTCTGCCAATCCCCTAAGAAGTGACTTCTCTCTACTACATCCAAAGCAGGTGGTCACCCTGGCTTCCCTGAATATGCTTAGAACGCAGCCCCAAGCTCATGGCCCTGAAGAGGTTTCTCCCACTAAACTGAGGGCAGATCCTTTTCATATGAGCCCCAACTTCTCTCTCCAACTCCACTCTCATCTTGGTCTTCCTGAAAATACCAGTTCATCTTTGAAGACCCAGTTCTCTAGGAAAGTTTGTCTTCCCGCACCCCCTAGGTATGGTACCATCCTCCGTGCTTCCACTGGTCCTTCTTCTATCTTACTGCACTGATCACTCTACATTAAAAGTCTGTCTCCAACCAAGACCGAGAGCTCTTAGAAGTCAGGGACCATGTCTGATCCACTGCTATATCCTTGCTACCCAGCATAGGGCCTAGTATACAACAAGTGTTCAGTAAGATTTACTAAATCAAGGACTTTTTATAGGTGCTGTCTTCTGAGGCCACCCA